GCTACTGGCCCTGTGGATTTTATTGGGTTACATATGATGACTCTGTTACTCTGAGTGAATTTAAGTACATAAACATTTTTGTCTAAACTGGTCAAAGACACTCAGAGCCTCGTCTTGGCTGTGTGCTTTGGCTCTTTATCTTGCTGAAAGGCTACACAAGAAATGAACTTTCTGATATGCAAACGCAACCTGAAGACAGTTTAACTCTTGCAGACAGTTTTTCTTTGGTTCTGCTAATAGCCACATGATGTCTCTTGTACAATACAGTTTACAGAGCTGTGATCTTTTCCTCTTACGTTTGTTTATGGTCTGGCTGCTAGAAGCATTTGGCCACATACGGTTTCCATGACAACTAAGTGCCACCAAGCGAGCAATGATGGCTGTTTTGCCAAATCCCATGTTGCCGATGATAACCGCGCCCCGGCTGGTTGCTGGGTCATCACTGCGGAGGCAGGTGTCCATTTCTTGGAAGAGCCACTCCCTGCCGGTGAAGAGCCAATCAGATGAGAGACCAGGAACCTCAAAGTGAAGTGGCTTCAGGTTCAGAGAGGGAGTGAAACGAACTGCTGGAAGAGAGGGAAGAGAGGAGCGCGTGTAATACTGCCATTTAGAATAACTGCATCTCAGGATGTTTGGCACCATGTGTGCATTCACCTCTGTGGTCCTGTTGACTACGAATCCCAGAATTCTGTCTAGGCATTCTGAGGGATGTCCTTGAAGGGATGTGTCTCTGCTGCTCATCAAGATAAGCCAGGTCTTCAAGGTGGGCCGAACTAGTGGCTAAAGAGAAATAAAAAAAAATATAAATAATGCTGTAATAAGACTGCTGCAAAATAACTGACATCATGTGCTTTATAGAGATACTAAGTTGGTTATAGAAAACTAAATTAAGAGCCGTTTGTAGATATATTTTTTTCCTCTGAAGAAACTCCAAAGTTTAAGTTAGCTATGGTGAATGTGTCCTTACTACTTGGTACAAACAGGTCTGGCACTTTGGTAAACCGATGCATTCACGTTCTTGCCAAAGGTTAGACGAGAATATTCTTATAATTCTTGTTTTTGTTAAAGGAGGACACAGCTAGGAGAAATTAGTCAGAAATTAGTCAGTATAAAAGATGGATGTAGCCAACATGATGTCACCATCTGCTTTGTGAAGTCTTTTTATGTAGCCTAGAGCTATATATATGTGGAGTCATCAGCTAGACTCTTTGGCATATAATTGCAGCCAGCTCTTGTTTTACATTCTATGGACTCATATAGTTCCTAGACTTTAAATCTCTTTTAAAACTGTTCTTATTGTTCAGTTACCATTAACATACCTCCACAAATATACTCCACAACAGTGAGACATATTTAAACACTCTCAGTAACAAATATGTTACAACAATTTAACAAGTTAATCTAACATAACACCAACCAACCAAAAGTACTCATGTGTCTTCGAGCTTGTATGAAGACAAACGTGTTTATAGCTTTTGAACAGATTTCCGTATCTGTTGTTAGCAAAGCAAACAGGCAGGATTAGTCAGATTTCAGTATCTTGACAGTTCCTATAAAGTTGATATAAAACCTAACAATGGACTAATACAAGTTAAAAACTTTAACTTTCCCTGGCTGCAAACACAAAGCTGTGAGAAACCTACCAGAACGTTTGTCTTAATGACTCCAGTAACAATCCTGTTGCACTGCAGAGAATACGAGTGCAGGCTGTGCCTTGTATCCTGTGTGTCACTTCCTTCCTTCCCCAAAGTGCTCATGACTTTTAGCTTTTATTGAAACAGGAGAAGGAGAAGAGGAAAAGGAGAATGGGCTCTGAACACGTTACCCAGGCACCATCTCCAGTTTTCAGCTTGTTGCCTTTTATCAGCAGTTTATAAACTACCAATGACGAGCTTGTTAACACACCTGCCTGTGTACACATGAAATAAACCAGAAACTTGAAATAAACCAGACAGTCTTAATAGGTGATCTTTTTAAGGTGTTAAGGATTCTGTATTAATATCTGCCCGTGCCTCAGTTATGTCTCTGGTGAAGTATGGCCTGGATCCAGGACTGTGATTTTCTATGTGTGCTTCTGAAACACTGTCTTTAACTCTCTGTGTCTAACTGTAGCCCTAACCTGTACATGTTATTTTGGATTAAGCTAAAACTGACTTCTCTCTAAATAGATGTGCACAATTAGAATGATTATTTCCTTTGTTCTCAGACTGCCAAGACTTGGAGCGACTTTTTATGTTTTTACATAAAGGTGAAGTTTTTTTTAAAGACAGATTATAAACTAGAGAAAAGGCTGTGTTTTAATTCCTCACTACTGCGTGCACGTGATCCAATCACACTGCAAAGTATCCTGGCAGGTTTTTATAATAACAGCAACATTAAAAAACTAATTTCATGTTTTATTCAGTTTGATGCAAAATGAATGAACGTGCCCATGAAGTCATCCGTGTCACTTATTAATAATATAGGAATCTTTTTCTAACTGTCGCCCCCATAATTCACTGCAATTGTTTGTATATTTGTATACAAATTTGAATACAAGTGCGTTGCGTATGCACTGGGACACACTCTGAATTCACTTTTGCAGAGCAGAGGGGTGCACTATGAAGCCAGATTATGGGCTTAGTGAGCTGTGCTGAGTTTAACCCTTTAAGACCTACCATAGAACCAAGTCCGCCAGAGCTTATATTATATTTTTAC